TTTGCATATTGTACCATATGGGTCTATGACCTTCTGTGAGAAGATAAATAAATTTGTTAAACTTGTTTTGCATTATTTACCTTGGTAGATGACCAGTAACATAAATGCATTATATATATTCTGAGACAGATTATTGTTTATTTGTTAAAATTTCTTATTTGTTTTGAACTTATACCAGTATTGATAAAATTTCTGCAAACACTTTAATAAACAATGGTGATACTGTAGTTAACAAGAGATACATGTGTCAGGATTATAAATACTTGTATGGTATTTAACATCTTCATTCATGATGTTGACCCTGAAATCGACGAAAAGGTGGATGCAAATTTCTTTTACGACATAGAAAATTCGAGAACATTGTTAAGTTGCTGACTGTATGTTCATTATTTTTTTAACAACTTCAAATACGATACGGACACCCATGCCGATGAAAAGGAATGATGGATGCATTTGTTCTTTTATATAATAGAAAATTGAGAACATTGTTTAGAAGTTGACGTTATCATACTGATATTTTATTAACTTTTAACATAGTATTGTTAGTAATATCGCACCTGGTATAAAACGCCACCCAGTTTTTTGCATCCCAATCTTTGTAAGCCGCACTCCATGTATCCAAAACATTCTTCTTGTCAGCTGAGAATAGAAATAGAAAAAAAAATTAATAATAAATACGTATAAAAAATATAATCGCTTTATGATTTTCTTGATGAAAATATTGTTCTTTGAGCCAAAACCGAAACGGAATTCTAATGTATAGTTGCCTGCAATTGGAACGTTTAGCAGAAAGATTTTTAACATACGAAGAATGCCCAACACGGCAAAATTAAACATGTTGCAGGCTTGGTTTTATTTAGTCTGTTAATAGACGGAAGTGGTGATTGGAAGCTACCGTCCACGCCCGCTAGCATCGGCTTAGGCAGAATTCAACAATTAACATGAACTTGTAAAATTTTGAATCTTAAGACATCCGCAGATGTGTTCATATGGCATAAGATAATTACTTAAACCTCTAACTAGATAACTTACTTCCATAGATATATTTTGTATGTGCTGGGACCAAAGATTACTTTTGTCCCAGGTATGTGATAAGAAATTAGAATGTCTTTTAAAATGTCATTTTATTAATAATGTCATTTCCACGGACCTGGTACCATCTTTGACAGAGGGCACACCCTAAAAGATAGGTAAGAGTCGTTTCAAAAGAATCTAGAGATTTGATGTTTACAGTATTAATCTACTAACGAGGAAATAAATGGTGACACTTAAACCTGAACTCTCTTAAACTGAACCTCTTAAACAGTAAATTAAGCACACAATCAGCGAGAAACTGTCTTCAACAAACAGACTGTTTGTGCACATATTTAAGATAATGTTTTTAGATCTCAGAGACGTCAACATTGTATCATTGTTTTGTAAGTCATGTAAACATTGTTTCTTTTATATTTAGTTTATCTGAAACAAACATTAAAATACAAAGTGGCAATTTATGGAATACATTTCCAACTGACATAAAACTACAAAGTAAATTGTCATTTTTTAAGAGTAAACTAAAGGATTATTAAATAATAAAGAATACTGCTCAAAGCGCTAAAAGCTGTTAACTATTTTTTAACAGAGATTTATATAACTCTCTCTCTCTCTCTCTCTTTTCTTCTTTTTTTTTTTGTTGTTGTTTTTGGGGTTTTTTTTGTTTGTTTGTTAACATTTATTGATGATAGCATGTGCATGCGTAGTTAAATACTAATTTCCACAAGTTATTATTTATAATCCACAAAAATGCTATGTATTTTGTGTACCAGAGGTTTTAAACCAGAGATATATTGTTTATATTCATAAAATTTTAAATAGAACGTATCTGCATGAACCCCACTCTGTTGGAACCACGACCTCTGTAAGTAAATTTGGTGGGCTCTTTAAGTACGGCAGTGTCACCTTCTAAATAAGACGGCTCAGTTAGAACAACTATATTCGATTGTTAAGCTCTCTTGGCAGGTTCACCAACATCTTGCGGTTTGTTCAGGTCTGAACTATAGCAAACACCAATTGTCTTCTGTTGAAAATATCTAAAATGTGTTTTTCAACTAAATAAGTCTCGGTGTAATTAAACTCATTTAAAACACTTCCCTTTTCACTACTTTTCCAGATTTCTATAAAGGTCATTTTTATGTTAAACCTTTGTAAAATGAAGAAATAAATAGTGGCTAAATTACATTTCGAAGAGGTGATAAAGTTGCAACCATTATTGGTAGGATAAAAATAATATTTGATGCAACCATCATAGTGATATTAAACAAGAGGGCCAAGATAGCCCTAGATCGCTCACTTGACCAATTACACTTTTCAGAGCAATTACTCAGACAAGCATCCTGACCAAGTTTTATGACAATTGAGTCAAAATGTGACCACTAGAGTGTTAACAAGGTTTTTCCATATTTGGTAGGTGTGACCTAGTTTTAACCCCAGGTGAACCATATTCGAAATAGACCTAGAAATCATCAAAACAAACTTTTGGACCAGTTTCCAGGATTTTTGGATCAAAACAGTAGCCTCTAAAGTGTTAACAATATTTTTTCTATTTTTAGTTCATGTGACCTAGTTTTTCATCCGAGATGATCCATGTTCAAACAATTACCGAGCAATTACCTAGACAAGCGCCCTGACCAGGTTTGATGATGATTGAGGCAAACATGTGACCACTCGAGTGTTAACGAACAAATGTGGACGAACGACGGACATTCAAAGCCTTGAGCTAGCTAAGGTGAGCTCAAAATTTATCACTCATCTTGTTTCAAAACTTTTGAAATCATTTCCTCTTCAATAAATAAAAAAACTGAACAAAATGCGGCATTATCTCTTAATAGTATTCAGTAAATTTGTCCTTAATTTGTTCACATTTAATATAATATGTCTCTTGTATGTAATTAATAACTACGCAAAACAGTTGTATCAACAAATACCATGAACACATTAAAATACGATACAGTTTTCCTTTTCAGTGAACATGAGAAATTAGTATATCTTAATCACGTTTTAAAAGGAATTGCCTTTCAATAACTTAGACTTCAAGACCCGATATAGTTTAGCTTTTTTTTATAAAGGTTTTTACACAAGATCAAAATTATGTTTAGTCAAAGAGTCGTCGAATTAATTGTTTGGAAGTCACATTTTCAGATCATAAAAAATTATTTTCAAATCATTTTCAATATGTTCATTAAGCATGAAGCCGTTTTTTGTTTTTGCCTTAGTAAACCGCATTGTTCTTCTACACAAAAATATTATCAAATATAAACAATTAACCATATCAAGTTCGATCATGAAAATCTCACATAGAAGTGAAATTCCTGGCTTTCTACAAGTATATGTTTTTCAGTCTTTATTCATTCACATCTAAATGTCCTCCTCAAAGGTATTTCGAAAAACGTGAAAATGTGTCACTGTTTTGTGCTTTCAGACTGTTGTTATGGTAACGGACTCGAATGAATCTTTAAGTTCTTATATGTTATTTAAAGTAAATTTGAAATGCCTGATATAGGACACGACTTAAGACAGCATGATTTTAGCATTAGTCCTATAATGGTAGATGAAAATATAACAGGTATGCTTTTAATACATTTCTTCTTAATAACGTTATCTATTGTGATTTAATTGATATTTGACTGAATCAATGACTTTTACTTTTAAAAAATGTCCAATACTTATTACGAACCTTTAAGATAAACGTTTAAATGGAAATGCCATTCAATACTACCTTCGTGATATTAGTTTACACTAGATAGTATGGTAAATTAGTTACGACTGTGACAACCGTACAAGACTAAACATATGCTGAAAAATGGCCGTAGACGGGCGTAAATTTAGTCAATCTTTGTATCAAGGATCGGATATAGAAAATGAGTTTCCGTGTTCTCCTTGTACTAAAGAGGGGAAGAATGTGGCTGCTATTAAACATTGTGTGGAATGTGATGAAAATCTGTGTCAAAAATGTTTGGGTGATCACAATAAGTTTTCAGTAATGAGAGGACATCAGTTACTAGACACGGTAAAACAGCTGAGCGGGAAAAGGCAGGATTTACCAAGTCAGAGATGTGAAAGACACGGAGGAAAATTGATAGATGTCTACTGTCCTGGTCATGATAAAGTTGGCTGCGCAACGTGTATGACCATTGACCACAGGTTTGAAAATTCTACTTTCGGTTTCGGTGCATTGACAAGAAAATTATTTTGTCTTATAGCCCATTTAAAAAAAAAGATTACAATAACTGCCTCTTTTTGTCGTCAAAATGAATTTATATATTTATTGGTCCAGAAATAGCAATTAACTACATTCAATATTATCCTCAGGGTCTCTCAACTTGTACGTTTTAACTCAAGGTAAATCGGTCATTTTAAACCTGTGAAAACTGGCAGAAATCAACATTACCCATGTCTTTTGTTGTTTAGATAAGTTATAGAATTAAGGTTGAATTCCATTTAAAATCATACTGAAATTTTGAAACAGACAAATTGCATTTCGAGTTCGTGGGATACAACACCCCAACAATGTTTCTTGTTCAAGATTATTAATTTAGATATAATTAAATTGATTTTAAGCCATTTTTACATTGAAGTAGTAATATCTCTATATATAGAGAATATATTATATATTTTTTGTATCTCTATCAGATGCCTACATCAAATACTATTTTTTATTCCTTATTATTGATTCATTTTATTCATTTCATTTTAAAACAAAACTTGATATTCTATATATATGTCACTTATAATTACAATATTGTATAAAAACTTCATTAATATTAACAAAACAAATTAATTAATTAACAGTCCTGTGATATTTATTTTATATTATATTCATGTCATATTCTAGAAAAGAAGTAATAACATCATAATTGATTATCAGACTGATAATATTTTACAAAGTAATTTTTTTTAGCACAGATATTTTATTTTGATAGTTCATATTGAGTACACCTATTGCCTCGTCTATTTCATTGCAGTGGCTGCAAAGGTATAAGTTACATACCAGACATAGCTTGTAAAACTAAAACCTCCGAAAAACTAAAACTTCTTGAAGCTGAACTAAACACACTACAGTCTCGTTTCCACGCCTTAAAACAAAACAAGAAGGAAGAACTAGAAAATGCGAAGAAAGAAAAAAACCAATTGATCAAAGAAATAAAATCAGAAAGGAAGAAAATCAACGACCATTTGGACAAGATGGAAATGGAACTTTTTCAAGAAGTGGATGCCACATTTCAGAATAAAATGCAAAATATAGAGTTATGCATGAAAGAAGTTGATGCAAAGATCGCTTCACTGCAGGAAAATATGCAAAAGATCAGTGCTGCTAAACATGAAAACGAATCCGAAAAATATGTGCAGATAAAACGTGTTAACGGGAGAAGAAAAGATGCAAGCGATTGTTTAGAAGACTTAGGAAGGTCGGGGAAAACAGGCAGATTGCGGTTTGAACCGAACGGATATGTGACTGATTCGGAATGCAACTTAATTGGAAATGTTCTTCATCTTCCAGTAATTGAAGCAGAAAAATGTCATGTTATTAATATACGAACAAAGGATGACAAGGAATCGTGCTATATACTTGACATGTGCATGTGTGAAGATGGATGTATTGTTATGACAGATTACAACAATAAATGTATAAAGAAAATGAATGATTCCTTCCAGATCATATCTTCGCTGAATGTCACTGACAATCCTTATGGTATTTGTCAGATAGACTCTTCAATACTGGCCGTCACTCTGACTAGTGATAAGACAGTCCAGTTTATCTCCCAGACAGACCCAATGAAGCTTCAGAAATCCTTCAAAGTCGCCGATAGATGTCGGGGTATTGCATACAATGACGGAATGATTTATGTTTGCTGTGGCGGATCAAAGATACGAAAAGATGAAGGTGTCGGTCATTTGGCGGTGTATAATATTTCTGGAAAATTGCTAGCATCGTACTTTGATGAGATTAAATGGCCTCAGTATGTACAAATCTCAAGCCTCAAAATGGAAATGTTTGTGATCGACGCATTTGAAAGTATCCTTGTCGTTGATAAAACCCGAAGTATGAAACCCATTACTGTAGATAAGAGACTTTTTTCAAATCCTAGTTGTATTTGTGAGATAAATAAAAGTCAGTTCTGTCTTGGGTATTTTCAGTCAAACAATGTACTTTTAATGTCAGCTAACAGAAAGGACCAGGTAGAGCTATTGACAGCACAAGACGGTTTAATAGATCTCATTGGTTTATGTTTCGATAACAAAACGTCAAGGCTCTTTGTTTCCTGTAATAAAAGTGACACACTTTTGGTCTTTACTTTAAAGTTAAGCCATTGACTTTTCTTAACAATTTATGACATTTCTTCATGAAAGCATAGGTGTTTATCTTTAATTTTATGGGTGTCACTGAAAACATTTTGACCGATGAAGAAGTGAGTTGTAGTTTATTTTTGCTTAAAATGTATCATGAATTATCATGTTATCTACTCGTAACAGGTTTGGTGGTTAATTTGTCACTATTCATAGAGAAGGAAAAAACTTAGTTAACAAAGCTATAAAAGGCAAGAATAATAGTGCATTTTATTGATGTTTTCTTTCCATATGATGCTACAATAACATCACACATACTCTAACTTTACATGTTTGCATTGCAAATTTCTTCAAAGTGATATTCTGAAAGATTTCAAAGCTTCATGTGTTTCAAAAACAGGGACCTTACAAAGGACAGAACAGAAAGGTGACATAAGCCCGCAAAGGATAAAATGATGGCCAGAGCAAAAATGATTAAAGATGGAAAGGCCAAATTAATAACCTTGCATTTTGCTTATTACACGTATCTATTCTGTTGACAAATCCACGAGATAAAGACTTAATCCTAAGGGTATACACATGGTCGAGTATAAACCGGTGAAGTTTCATAGGTACGTTTACTTTGCTTTGTCAGAAAAGTCATAAATGTTCTGAAATAATTGGGACTCATAATATAACCAATACGTAGTTTTGAGTAGCACAACATATACTTTTCATCATATATAATTTTGTGTCAATTGTTTCTTTGTATATATGCTTTTGCATAATCCTGAGGCCATAAAGCGAAATAAAGTATTTGTATTGTGTTGTATTGTATCATCAGGAAAACCAAATAATTGATTTTTTTCTTTAAACATTGCTGTTAAGAAACCAGTTTGTCTTGTAACATAAAGAGTATATTTTTTTCTTGAATTCATAGTTTATTTTAGCTCTTTTTAAATTAAACACAACTCACTTTCACGAAACACTTTTGAAAAACTGGTATATCATGATGCTTGGACTGTTAAAAAAAAAAGCTAATGACCCTAATTCGGCCTATAGGTCTGTTTGGTACACCTTGCTGACACTGACCTTCTTGTAATCATATATTTAGGTAACCACGTTGACAGACTTAATAAAGATCTAAGCATTGAAACGCATACAAACTCATATTCTGCAAACATAAATAAGCAGTCCTTGAGAACTGGATTAGAAATGAATAAAGGAGAAACAAATGACAAGTGATTAGAAATAACAAAAAAGAATATATTTTAAGGCTAGATAATACAGCATTTTGTAATTGGCACAATCTTTCGTCATATATAATTGTTGTATTTTCTATGTCAAATTCTTAGAAATAAATGCAAATTCAAAACGTTCACAAATTTTTCGCATGCGTCAATGTTGTATTTGTTTTGTTGCTTTTTAGAATTTTCAAGTAATTCGCCAAGCGGACAAATTTAAATAAAATTTGCTTTTGTACTAAGAAAATGCCCTCTCGAGATTCATCTGCAAATGTACTTTATTATGTGAATGAATAGTTTCTTAATTAATTTATTTAGTACGTGTAATCTACCGGATAGAAAATAATATAAAATCTTTACACTAGTATGTATATTAAATACAAACATAATGTGACATATCAATTTTAAATACATTGTTTTTATATTGTAATGGGTCGAAATATTAAAAATCGCTTTTAAGTTCCAAAATATGCACATCGTATTGCTAAAATATGATAAAATATGATTACTTGATTTAGAAGATACATATAAGGGGTATATTTCTAGCTTTGCGACTTTGAAATGACAATGATGATGAAGCTCTCGTTGAACCACTGCAAGACCGATGTCAAAACAACCGCCAAATGTGTCTAAGTTCATTTAGCTGATAGAGTCAGTGTCATGTATAATTCAAACAATCAATTATGCAAAAGAGTAGGAAATGTCAAAAAGATTTAGAATTTGGTTTTCATAATATCCAAGATCACCTCGTTAATCTTCTGCCATGACGTTTGCTGGTCACCATTCATTCCTACAGTGTCGCTGACGAAACCGGCAAGTTCAGTCAGTGCATCCTGAAAAAAAGTTTGTCTTTGAGCGAAAATACAAAACAAATCTAACGAAAACGTAATTAAGTTCTTTGAAATAATGATTTTTACGCTTAAATGTGTGATTACTACGATTGCAATGTTACATGTTGGCATGTTATCGACAGTCGAGATATTAATGTGTTAATACTATAATAGTTGGTCCAAAGTTCAAATAATATATGGTTTCTGATCAGACTCGCAAGTGTTCATGTTCAATTTTAGTATCAACAAGAAATCCACAATCGACTCTTCTGATCGTTAAGCCAAATATACTCTTGCATGTTGGCGGGCAAATACCTAAACCATTTATTGGTGTTGATCTCTTTTATTTAAAAGCAGTGTACTTCAGTTCTGAAATATGATTAACAACCACTAATTCTATCTCCTAATATATACTAAGTACCTTGAAAAGTCCCATGTCTGTGGTACCTCTTTTCTTATGGCTGGCACACATTCCGCTGACATTTTGATCCAACGTTCCAGCATTATCGAGGTTCTCCATCCAAGACTGGACCATTTTACCAAACAAACCGGACTGCAATTTTATATCACAATTGGTAAACGCTTCCTTGATTTTTGGATTGTTTGCGAAAAGCCTGTTAATAAAACAAAGCAAACTATTTCATTGTGTGAAACAATTTTAACTTTGAATTTTTTATTTTCATTTTAAAAAAACATTGCATATTCAGGTCCTAAAGTATCAAATTTAAATGAATAAATTGAACATTAGCCATGTTAAGGACTATTGTTCCTTGGAGAATTGTGTCTCTTTCTCTGACAACATGAATTGCATTATGTACCTTGGCAGATGACCAGTAACATAAATGCATTATATATACATTGTATTCTGAGACTAACATTATTGTTAAAATTTCTTCTTTGTTTTGAACTTCTACCAGAATTGATAAAATTTCTGCAAACACATTAATGAGCAATGGTGATACTATAGTAAACAAGAGATACGCGTCAGGACTATAAATACTTGGTAGATATTTAACATCGAAAATTCGAGAACATTGTTGAGTTGTTGACTGTACGCTCATTATCTTTTTTTAACAACTTCATTTACGATACGGACACCCATGCCGACAAAATGAAATGATGGATGCAATTGTTTTTTAAGTAATAAAAAGAAATAGGAGAACATTGTTGAGAAGTTGACGTTATGTTGGAGCTTGGAGCATAATGATATTTTCCAACTTTTAGCATAGTATTGTTAGTAATATCTTACCTGGTATAAAATGCCACACCGTTTTTAGCATCCCAATCTTTGTAAGCTGCACTCCATGTATCCAAAACATTCTTCTTGTCAGCTTAGAATATAAACAGAAAAAAAGTTTAATAATAATTACGTACATAAAATGTAACCACTTTATGATTCACTCGATGAAAATAATGTTCTTTGAGCCAAAAGCAAGCGGAATTCTACTTGCAATTGGAACGCTCAGTCGAAAGGGAAAGGTATCCAATTGCATAGATATTGAATTATAAGTTTTATTTGTATGGGTATTTCTTTAGAATTTAATTTTTATGAGTATTTCATTAGAATTTCATTTGTATGGGTTTAGACATTCGTTTGGAATAAATTTGTATGGAAATTTGTTTAAAAATTCATTTGGAATTTCATTTGTATGGGTATTTGTTTAATATTTCATTTGGAATTTCATTTGTATGGGTATTTGTTTAGAATTTCATTTGGAATTTCATTTGTTTGGGTATTTGTTTAGAATTTCATTTGTATGGCTATTTCATTAGAATTTAACTTTTAATGTCAGTTTTGTGAACATAGAGAAAATATAAACGTTTAGAAGATAATACAAAATCATGGGGCCCGTTTAAATAGAAAATGTATTATTAATGTAAAAATCACTGTTATATATTTATTCTATTAA